GTCGATGTTTCTAGCTCTCTATCTCTCTCCCTTCCTCTTTGTAAAAAATCAATAGAACATATTTTTTAAAAAAGTTGACCTCAGCCTTTAAAATGCCTAACCGTTAGGCCCTAACCCATTAAAAAGTTATAACAACTAAAAGTGGGCTTTGGGGCAATAACTGAAATTTAACTGATCTGAAGGAGTTGACAGGCTTACTTTGGTGGGGCCTCCATGACACTGGCTTCAAGGAAGAATAAAAACTGTTTGCATGCCTTTTTCCCAGGGCTGAGGATTTCCCAGACCTGCATCACCTGGGGACATTTGTAACGACAAAAGCAAACAAACCAGGTTCCTATTGCTGCCCAGATGTTGGTTGTGTCTTGGATCAGGCTCAGAAATTTGGATTTGAAGGGACTCATATATGCAAGTGTGAGGAACACTGCCTGGGCAATAGTGAATCATGCAAAGCAATGAGGCCTTGGCATCAGGCCCTCCCTCACTTCTAATCCGTTTGGAAACTCCAAGACCCAATTTCAACACATTGAAGAAAACTCTAGCATGCCTATAAATCTCAGTAGACTATTGTGCTTGTCAAATCCACCTTTGAGAATTTATGTTCGGTTGCTTCACGGAAAGCCTTGGGCACTCTTATGACTGAGCAGTTGTTGAAGATGGTCTGTCTTATCTGGATTATTCTAACCAGCAGAGGTTGCTGGGAGATGGCCCCAGGAGATGGGGAGTTTCACTGGGTTTGGTGGGAAGACCAGTTTGGTGGTTTCCAGAGTCATTGTTTGTTTTTTTAATTGATTTTTTACAGAGAGGAAGGGAGAGGGATAGAGAGCTAGAAACATCGATGAGAGAGAAACATCAACAAGCTGCCTCTTGCACACTCCTCACTGGGGATGTGCCCGCAACCAAAGTACATGCCTTTGACTGGAATAGAACCTGGAATCTTTCAGTCCGAAGGCTAATGCTCTATCCACTGAGCCAAACTGGTTAGGGCCAGAGTCATACTTTAAAAATATATATATATTTTATTGATTTCAGAGAGGAAGGGAGAGATAGAACATCAATGATAAGAATCATTGATCAGCTGCCTCCTTCATGCCCCCTACTGGGGATCCAGCCCAAAACCCGGCCATGTGCCCTTAACAGGAATTGACCCCGAGGCCCTTCAGTCCACAGGCCGACACTGTATTCACTGAGCAAGGGCCAGAGTGATACGTTTGGACACAGGCATGCCTGACTTCTGCATTTGATGCTCTTCATTGCTGTATTAGCGCTCCCAAGGTTACAGGGTTCATGGTCACACATATCCCCCATGAAACGCTTACACAGGGAACTGAGAAACCCTAGGCCTCTTCCCAAAAGAACACTGCTTCCTGCTCTCCTCCTTCATCCCGCCCCTCTCCAGCCCCACGGGTTCTCTCTGCAGGACAACTCCAACTGGTGGCTTTCTCCAAAATCCTGCAGAAGCCACCATGCCTGATTTGGCATTCAGGGCTATAACCTGGATACAACTTCCCTGTGGAAGGCAGGATAATGGCTCCTAAAGCTGTCCGCATTCTAATCCCTGGAGCCTGTGAATTGTGGGGCATGACAAAGGGGAGTTTTGCAGCCTTGGCCAGGTGGCTTGGTTGGTTGGAGCGTTGTCCTGATACACCAAGGCTGCAGGTTCAATCCCCAGTCAGAGCACAAACAGGAATCAACCAATGAACCCATAAATGGGTGGAGTGGCAGATTGATACCCCCCCCCAAAAAAAAATCAATCAAAATCTTTATTTTTTTTTAAGAAGGACTTTAGCAGATGTGATTAAGTGCTTTGAGAAGGGGATATTTTCCTGGACTATGTGGGTGGGCCCAAACCGATCAAGACTTTAAAACTGGAGAGCTTTGCCCAGCCAGTGTAGCTCAATGGTTGAGTGGTAACCTAATGAATCAGGAGGTCACAGTTCCATTCCCGGTCAGGGCACATGCCTAGGCTGTGGGCTCAATCCCCAGTGCGGGGTGTGCAGGAGGCAGCCAATCAATGATTCTCTCATCATTGATGTTTCTCTCTCTCTCTCTCTCTGTGAAATCAATAAAAATATATGTCAAAAAATAAAAATGAAGCAGCCTCTAGAATTTACAAAAGGCAAGGAAATGGATTCTGCCTTTGAGCCTCCAGAAAGAAATCTCAACTTTAGTCCCCTGACATCCATTTTGAACTTCCGTCAGATAATACATGTGAATTAAGCCGCTGAAGCTGTGGTAATTTATGACAGCAAAAGGGAACGAATACAATCTCCAAAGAAGCTTCCTCCAACCGGTTAGTCCCAGCTAGTCTCACTCCGGGTACCATATGTCCTCCCTCACGCCTTTGTCCTGCTGCTGCCCCGCCCAGGACACTCAGACCACCTCTCCCCCAAGTTCCTAACAACTGCCTATCCCTCTACACGGTCCTCAGCACTGACCCCCGGCCGGCAGCATTCACTGTCAGCCTGCCATCCTGTGGGCTCCCCTCTAGACCATGAGCTCTGTGCAGGCAGTGTCTGTGGTTTATTTTCCTCCGACTCCATGACCAGAAGGGTCCACTGAGGTCTGCACAGTGAATCTGGGGCACTTTTGGGGAACCCCTGGTTCTTAGCCCCCAGCTGCATCAGGATCACCCCGGAGCCCTAAAAACTCAAAACCCCAATTCTCCCAAATCACTGCGGAAGGACGGGCTGCGACCACGCGTGTATTATTGGGGGAAGGTTTCCAAGGGTTGGCAAGTGATGAACAGTAAGGGGTTCAAAAGTAGAATATGTTGTCACTTGTGTGAAAAGATAAAAAAAACAAATACTTATAAAAAATTTAAAACCATCGACTATCTTTGGAAAGATATATAAAAAAACACACAAGAGAACATAACTCCTGGTAACTTTCTGAATTCTGTATCATATATACGTAATATTAACTGCTCATAAAAGTAAGTAACATTTTAAAAACTCAAAATGCTGATTCTGGTGTACCTGCAGGAAGGACCCAAAATGTCCCAGAGGGGGCACAGAAATCTCCTGGGAAAGCCATCTGCCAGCTCATCCCAAGTCAGGAACTGAACTGTCAGGAAGAGGGCAGAGCCAAGAAGCAAGGGATACTTGAAAGCATACACTGAAAATGCACTTAATCAGAAAAATAGGGCCAAAACCGGTTTGGCTCAGTGGATAGAGAATCAGCCTGCGGATTGAAGGGTCCCAGGTTCGATTCTGGTCAAGGGCATGTACCTTGGTTGCGGTCACATCCCCAGTAGGGTCGTGCAAGAGGCAGCTGATCGACGATTCTCATCGATGTTTCTCTCTCTCTCCTTTCCTCTGTAAAAAAATCAATTAAACACACACACACACACACACACACACACACACACACACAAAAGGAAGCTTTCCAAAGGATTGGGAAGCCCTAGAAACCCCCTGACTCAGTCCCACCTCTGAATCTTATGGACCAGGAGAGGGAGAACAGCCTGCCCAAAGCTACACAGCCAGTCAGAGGCCCAGGCCAGGGCCCCAGGAATGACAGTGACAAAGTCATTGATTCCAGCCCCTGCTCACCCTCATGCAGGGGCCCTGCTGACTCACAAGGCCGGAAGGAGGACAGGAGGATAGAGAAGAAAACACCATCTTTAATCAACCCACCTGCACAGAGACCAGGGGAACGCTCCCTGCCTTGCAAGGTCCCAGTGAGAACTCAGTCCCCTTGCAAAAACTGTCTTATAAAAACAAAAGGCTTCAAAGCACCAGTGGCTAAACCCCTTGAGTAGAAAGGGGGTTGGGGGAGTGGAGGTGAGATGACAATTGGCTGGGGGGAAGGAGGGCAGGGAGGAGAAAGAAGGGAGGGCTGGAAGCAGGAGTTACCAAGTGGTGGGGCAGCAGTCAGGCTTGAAGGGAACTGTCCCACCTTGAGCTGTACCCACGGCTAATGGGCTGACCATTTGGGACCTCGGTACCTGTGGTGACCAGGGAAACTCCTGGGGCTGGTTCCTTGGCACAGAGCTGCACTCGGAGAGGGGTTTTAGCTCAGGCTATGTTGGCTTTAGACAGTAGGAAATACTAGACTGGAGAGTGAAGAGCACAGAACAAAGTGGTCACCACAGACGGGCTCAGGTGTGCAAACGGTCTGCACTTCCCTCCAGCTCCCTGAGGCATCCCGCCCCTCCTTCCCCAGGGCCACTCCAACTTCACAGGCTGGGAGCTGAGGCCTGACCCTCCTGCCCTTGGACTCACCAGCCAGGGCCCAGGAGGCAGGGTGCTCTGGGATGCCTGTGGAGGGAGGTAGGGAGAAGGAGCTCTCATCTCTACATGCTCTCAAGGAAGTGTGCTGGGCCTCCTGACCCCCACACCACCCCTCTCTACCTCTTCAGAACTCCATGGCATTGGAGTCGTCATAAACGCTCGGGATCTGTGAGCGCGGTGACCCGGCAGAGCTGAGCAGCCCTTTTCCGCTCTTAAGTCACAGGTCTTCCAACTGCTCAGGTGGAGTGAGTTGCTGAGCGCGGAGGGGACCACAGGTGCAGCAGCTTTAGGGACCTGGAAAGGGGGGTGACGGCTGATTGGGAACCCCCTTTCCTGGAGAGAGTTGGAAGGTTTGCCAACGGTGGACAGAAGCCAAGTCTAGGAAGGCCTCCCGGTGGGTCAGACTGGATTCAGGGCTCTGGGCTCCCTGTCTAGTTCCCGACGAGAGAACGGGTATATTGCTTTAAGAGAGGCATTGGCAAGTGGTGGCGGTGATGTGGAAACACGGTGTGGATCTCATCGGGTTCTAGGGTGTCTAAGTTGGAAAGGGGTTTGAAAATGACTTCTGGAGACCAGGCACTGGGTTTTGGAGGTTGAAACTACAGAAAGTACACTGTGTTCAAAAGCCTAGCGGTGTGGCCTCAAAGCAAATCGCTCTACCCCTCTGGGCCTCGGTTTCCTTACCTGCGAAATGGGGATTATAACCCCCGCCTAACCCAGGGAACTCAAGAATCCATTGAGAGAGAAGGCTAGAAAGAGCTCCATCTGCTAAGGGGTTATTTTAATTATCTGAGGTGGGGAAACTGAGGGCCAGAGAGGGCCAGGGCTTTGCCAGATGCCACACAGAGAGTCAGTGATGGAGCTGCGATTAGAACCCAGGACTCCTGCTCCGAGCTCGCGGTGTGAAATGAGTGTGGTGAGATGGGGTGAGTCTGTCCATCCTGCCTCTGCTCTCTGGACAGTGAACAGGATGCTGAATGAAGGTTGAAAGAGAGAGGCTGGAAAAATGGAGGGAGGCCCCAGTGCCCGCCAAGGCTGAGATTTAAAAAAAATACAAACCCCGAGATTCCCCTCCCTCACCCCGCCCCGCCCCGCCCCATCCCTGAAGTCCATCCAGGCTGCACAGGGCCAAGTCCAAGTCGGCTGCAGGCCAGATCCGCTGCAGTCAGCCCGCCAGACACTAGGGGGCGCGCCTGCCTTCTGGGCCCGAGCTCGCAGCAGTGGCTGTCCGTTTAGCACAAAGCACTCGGCACCGGGGTGGGCGCGGGGCTGAAGCTACCCCGACCTGCAGGAAACAAAGGCAGGTTAGGAAAGTGGATCCCGGATGACGGGGGAGCAGAGAGATCCGTCCGACTGCTCCTCCCACCCCTCCTCTCCTTTTTACCGACTCTAACGCCCGGGTCCCCCATCCCACCCTGCTCAGCGCCAGGACCCACGTGTACAGAGGCTGCAGCTGTAAATGTGACGTCTTCTGGGGCGCCTGATATCCGTAGGAGTCAAAGCCACCGATGAAGTCAACTGCGGAAGGGGAGGTGGCATTTAGTTAGAAATGGGCGGGGGGCGGGGCATTCTGAAGGGAGAAGGTTCTTGGGGGCAGGGCTTGAGCCACTTGGGGGGAGGAGACGGGGTTGGGGGAAAAGCTAGGAATGGGAGGTGCCGGATAGAGACCAGCCTTGTGGAGCCCCTCCCAGGGGCAGGGCCTGAGAGGGGCGGGGAAGGCGGGGGTCCTGGAGCCCTGGACTGGGTCCCTGGACATCTGGACCTCAGTCCAGAATGGTCCGACTACCGTATATAAATCCCACCTACCCCTGGCTCCTCTCCACCCCACTCAGAGAGGGGCCGCCCCGGGCTCCCTCCCACCGAGGCGGTGCGGGCCCCTGTCCAGGGTGCTGAAGACAGGGGTGACCGCGGCCAGGCTTTTCCCGCTTCCTGAGGGCGCCACACACTTACAGCTGTCCTCTTCCTCCAGGAACACTTTGCTCACGTAGCAGGCGAACACAAAGCCGAACAGCTGAGGGAGGAAGAGAATGAGGAGGAGGGAAACCCACCCTCCACCCTCTGCCTGGCCCTGACTACCCACACTGGAGAGGGAGGGCGTGCTGATAGGAAGGCAAACCCATAACAACTTCCAAGTTAATGACTGGGCCTTCCAGTCCAACCTTCCTGGTTCCAGTCTCTGTCCTGGGAGTGTGACTTTGGACAAGTAATTTTTTGAACCTCAATTCCCCCATTTGGATCTGGACAATATCTTATTGGCTTGTTAAGAGGAAAGACAATTATGTGGGGAGGGGAAATCGTCCCCAGGCAGGCTGGAAGACCTAGACTCAACCCTTCTTAACTAGGGCTATGCAAAGGGGTTTTCAGACTCCACTCCTGGGAGTGCTGTGAGGTGGGGGACAGGAGGACTCACAGCCAGGAAGATCTGCAGGGCGCTGCTGAGGGCTTCGATGTAGGGATAGTCGAGCAGGCAGCCAGTGACGGAGATGACATGGTGGTCTTCCAGGGCCAGGCGGGAGTTCAGGACCGGTGTCACCAGGCAGCCTGGCCCGTTCTCCATCCACCAGGAGCGGTGCAGGGATGTGTTGAAGGTCATGATAAAGTCCCGGTCCTGGGGGTAGAGGGGCCTAGGATACTGAGCTGGGGTGGGGGCATCCTCCCCAGGGCCCAGGAGACTATATATAAAGCCTCTTTCACACGTGGACCGTTATAGCAGCCTCCTCCCATCACTTGCTTTGTGGAGGGCATGGGGGTGAGGGGGTTTGAAGAGTACGTATCTGCAGATCCACATTTGGCCAGTAGGTGGCACGTGATGATCAGGCAAGCCTCCCCATGCCATCAGCAATAGAAAGGGTTGGTACTGAGCTACAGAACCCCAGGATTTCAGGGCTGGAAAGAACATTAATAGTGACCAGATACAATTTTCCAGCTATTGGTGAAGTCTTCAATACAGGCCCTTTCATGACCCATTCAGCCTCTCCACGCCTGCTCCCCATGTGTGACCCTGGGCAAACCTTTTCCATCGGGCCTCGGTCTCCCCATTTGAAATGGCGAAGCGGCTGACGTAGGCCAGAAGTTGTTATCCATGAGGTGCACCCTCGTGTTCATTAATCCATTCACTCATCCAGGCCACTAACAGATAGTCACTGCATGCTGACCAGGTGCAAAGACTCAGCAATCAAAGGAAGTCGGGGTTGCTCTATCTGAATTTACTAAATAAGGAACTGAAATTCAGAGAGAGGAAGACACTTGCCCAAGGTCAGACAGCTAGAAAACATTGGAGCTGGATTTGAATCTAGTAGGTAGTCAAACTACAAAGCCAAATGCTCTCATTCATGTAATGCTGCCTTCTTAATACCTAAGAATGAAAGCTGTGCCTTGGCCAGTTTGGCTCAGTGGTTGGGGTGTCGGCCTATGGACCAAAGGTTGTGGGTTTGATTCCTGGTCAAGGGCATGAACATACTTCCGTTGAAGGTACTTCAGCTCTCACAAGGGCACGTGCAGGAGGCAACCTATCAATGTGTGTCACTCTCATGTTAATGTTTCTCTCTTTCTCTCCCTCCTTCCCTTCCACTCTCTCTAGATATTAATGAAAAAAAAAATAAAAAAAAAATCCTTGGGTTAAAGTTAAAAAATGAAGAAGAAAAAAAAAAAAATGGAGCCGAAACCGGTTTGGCTCAGTGGTAGAGCTTTGGCCTGCGAACTGAAAGGTCCCAGGTTGGATTCCGGTCAAGGGCATGTACATTGGTTGCGGGTGCATCCCCAGTGGGGGGTGTGCAAGAGGCAGCTGGTTGATGTTTCTCTCTCATCGATGTTTCTAACTCTCTATCTTCCTCCCTTTCTCTCTGTAAAATATCAATAAAATATATTAAAAATAAATAAATAGCCGGGATCGGTTTGGCTCAGTGGATAGAGCGTCGGCCTGCGGACTGAAAGGTCCCGGGTTCGATTCCGGTCAAGGGCATGTACCTTGGTTGCGGGCACATCCCCAGAAGTGGGTGTGCAGGAGGCAGCTGGTCGATGTTTCTCTTTCATCGACGTTTCTAACTCTCTATCCCTCTCTCTTCCTCTCTGTGAAAAATCAATAAAATATATTAAAAAAAAAATAAAAATAAATAAATAAATAAATAAAAACGTTTTTTTAAAAAATGGAAGTTATACCCTCTGGGTTTACTCTTCTCAAAGCTAAATATTCCGCCGAACCCGGTTTGGCTCAGTGGTAGAGCATCGGTCTGCGGACTGAAAGGTCCCGGGTTCGATTCCGGTCAAGGGCATGTACATTGGTTGCGGGCACATCCCCGGTGGGGGGTGTGCAAGAGGCGGCTGGTCGATGTCTCTCTCTCATTGACGTTTCTAGCTCTCTATCTCTCTCCCTTCCTCGCTGTAAAATATATTTAAAAACAAAAAAAAAAAGCTAAATATTCCTACTTTCTTCAGTATTTTTCCATGGGACATGGTCTGTTCAATTTTCCCCAAACAAACTCTAGTCAATTCTTTTTCTTTTAATATTTTTTTTCACTTTCATTTTTATTTTATTTTTTAATACATTTTATTGATTTTTTTACAGAGAGGAAGTGAGAGGGATAGAGAGCTAGAAACATCGATGAGAGAGAATCATCAATCAGCTGCCTCTTGCACATCCCCCACCGGGGATGTGCGTGCAACTAAGGCACACACCCTTGACCAGAATCGAACCCGGGACCTTTCAGTCCACAGGCCGATGCTCTATCCACTGAACCAAACCGGTTTCGGCTCAATCTCTTTTTTCTTCTGAAAAATATTGATCAGCACTGAACTCAAATCTTTGTGGTTTAAACAGTACAAAATGCATGGGATTTTCACCTCCCTTGCACTGAGGATGTGTGAGGCCTAAGAGTAGCTCTGTTGGCCACCATATACTGTTAGTTTCTACAAAGCTTGTTATCAGCCGGGCCCCCAGCCCATCTTCACACAGACTGATCTCCATCCTTATCTACTCCATCATCATTTGTGTCTGAGAGGGCAGAGGGGGCCAGAAACAAAAATATGGGGTGGGAGATGGGAATAGATTACTTGGGTGTTCGGAGGGAAGTTTCTTCAAGAGATAATCCCTCCCCCCAAAAAATTCACAAAAGAGATGACGCCCCAGACCTCTATCACTGTGGGCGCCTGTAGGGTGGGAGGGGAGAGGTCAGGCTGTGTCCTCTGGCACTGCCAGGCCTGAGGCTTACCTGGGACAGCTGTCCAACCTCCAGGTAGAAGCAGATGATAAATGCATTCCAGCCAACCCAAAGCACCAGCCAGGCTGCATACTGGGGAAAGCAAAGGCAGAGTCAGGGTGGGGCCTGGGGGAGTGGGCTGGGGGTACGTCCATGGACACCGAGTTAATGGACTGAGAAGACTTTTGCAGGGGAAGTTTACGACAATACCTTGCTCCTAGAGCACCGAGAATCGTTAACAAATCATTTTTATACCAAACCAGTCTTTGTAACAGCCCTGTAGGGAAGGCATTATCCTCGCTTCAGAGATAACTAATTTAAGGCCTAGAGAGTCTTTTTTTTGCCAAGATCACACAGCTAGAAAGAGGCAGGGCTGGAACTCAAACCCAAGTCCGGGGGTAACTAATGCTATCCACTAATGCTATGCCACCGCACATAGCCAAGACCTGGAGCGGGGCTTGGCGATTTGCACCCAAATCCTATGCCGACCATTCCCGTGGCTGCCACCAGTAGGTGCAGCATTTTATACTGGTGCCTGGGGCGTCCTGAGAACTGGAGAGAAGGATTCTCATGTCTCACTCAGATGAGAGAAAACCCTGGAAGGGCCATGTTCTTCTCCTGGCCTCTGGGAGGCGGGGACAAGCCCCAGAATGAGGGCTAGAGGGCGCTGGGGGTAGCAGGACACTGGGTGTCACTGTTATTGCAGGTGCCAAGCATTTCTGTAGTGAATCTACTGAAAAGCCTTTTCCCTCAAGAGAGGTAAGTGGTGAACAGGTCACAGAGGAAGAGCAGGGGACACAGGTGAACTGAAAACCGGAGTTTGACAAGAGACCAGCCAGGACCAACCAGGATTTAGAAAAAGGGAGCAGGAGGAAGGAGCCAGGGACACAACCCACTCTGGGGATGGGCCCAGGGCCACTCCCAGCAGTATTCTCGATGAACACTGAGGGACGAGGGACAGACGCCAAGCTTTCCCGAAGCAACCCGAGGAACCAGGCTAGACGAGGCTCCTTCCTCACACAGGCTTTCGGAGGCGGCCTGGTGAGGTAGCAAGAGCATCCGCTCTGGATCTGAGGCTCTAGTCCTGGCTCTGCCTCCCACTGGCTGTGTGACCTTAGGAAGTGTCGTAACCTTTCTGAGACTCACAGAAAAGTGAGCTGGTGCGACACACCTCGTAGAGCTGTGTAAAGATCCAATAAAGCAAGGGACACCTTTGCAGAGAGCCAAACACAAGGTAGGCACTCCTTAAATGATGTATCATGTTCATAGTTGGATTTTTCCCCCCTGGGAAATTATTTAGGAAAAATGCCAATCTTGTCTCTGCTGAATAAAGAAGCAATGGGATTTGGGCATTCACACCAACAAGGCCAGAGGCAAGACAGGGCAGGGGTCTGGGTGCCTGTGGTGGTGGTGGGGGACAGTTTTGGTTGGAGGAGTGGGGGCGATGGGAGGAGGTGAGGAGAAGGGGTTGGCTTAGGAGGAGTCATGAGCCATACCAGAATGAGGTACCGGGACCGGTACTGCACCGTGCCAAAGATGCCCAGGATGACCGCCATGATGTGCAGGAAGTTGGCCAGGATAGGAGCCCATTGGTAGCCCAGGAAGTCAAAGATCTGCCGCTCCAGTGCAGCCACCTGTGAGAAAGAGCAGACTGAGGCCGTGCGTGTGACATAAAAGGGAAGGACGGGAACTCCTTGACCTTGTGGATGAGGTGACATCAGTTATGGTGGTGATGAGGCACCATGACGGATGGTGCAGAAATACCGAAGCCATCCCAGCCCTGCAGTACCGAAGGGGTGCTGGGAGGTGGGACAAGTCTGTGGGGGTGGAGAACTGAGCCCTGAGCATGACTTTGGGGTGGGCTGAAGGGATGGGAGCCAGAGTTTAAACAGCTACCTCCTTGCCAAGAAGTCCTCCCATTTGCTCCCTCCTTATATGGGGCTCTCAGTCAGTAGAGTCAGGATCCAGACTCCTCCCCCGGCCCTGCCCAAGGGCTGAGCCCTGGCCCTTGGAGGCCTCAGGGATGCCTCTGGGTCTGAGTCATCTCTTCCCCCTCTCTGTGGCCTAGGCAGTGTTTCCCAAAGTGTGGTGCTCGTACCCCCAGGGGTACGAGAAGAGTTTGGTGGGGATATGCACTGCACTGTGCTTAGCTGCACCTAATTCTACATTCTCATGAGTACGAGGGGTACTCAGCGTTACGAAAATTATAGAAGGGGTACACATATGTCAAAAGTTTGGGAAACACTAGCCTAGGGGATCCATGGGCCACAGAGAAAGGGATTTTGCTTTCTCCCCTTCCCTGAGGGAACTGCAGTAGATTGCAAAACTGGCCTCAGATTCTCCTTCCTTTTTCCATTTTCTTTGGCAGGGCCCGCCCACACTAGCTCTGCACTTGGTCATGTGACTTGCTTTGCCCAATGGGAGTTAAGCAAATGTGAAGCAAGTGAAGACTTGAAAAATGCTTGTGCACTGGAGCTTGCTCCCTGGCTATACTTGTAACACAGAGAACACCTTGTGGAAGAGCCCATGCTAACCTGCTGAATGACAGGCACCCCAGCTGCCAGCCAGCCAGCCATCAGAGTGAGGCCACACCAGCTCATTCAGATGCTGGCCAACCCACCGGCTGACCACAGCCACACAGCCCAGATCAGAACAATCCCCAAGCCGACCCACAGAATCATGCGCTGAATAAAATGGTTCTTTTTTTAAAATGACTACATTTCGGGGTGATTTGTTACACAGCAAAAGCTAGCTGATACAGGACACAATCAACACTCCCTTCCCAGCAGCCCCTAGTTCAGTCTTTCAGCTGATAAAATCAGGACTAAAGGTGCCACGTATTGACTGACCAATATTCCTTCTGGTTTTGGAAGCTGCCGCCCAGACACTCAGTTCGTGTGGCTGGGTGGGGCTGATTCCACTTCTAACTTCCACAGCGGGCTTGTGACCTATGCCTAACCAAGTAATCCACACAGTGATCTCTTCGGGGGGGGGGGGGGGCCCACTCACTGTGTGCCCTCTCCCGAGAGTCACCAAAGCTAAGGAACAGAGAGAGAGTGAGGAAGGACGATGAACAAGCAGGAACAGTGTTCCTGGTGACATCACTTTAGGTCTGAGGATCCAGACATGCCTGAAACTAACCATCCCTCCTTGTACCTGTGATTTCTGTCACTTGCAACCAAGAGTCCTGACTAAGACAGAAGGAGAGGAGATTAAAGGGTCTGGCTTGGGAGGGGGAGGAAAGATTCTGATAAAGTGAAAAGATCCCAGAAGCTCTTTTCCTGGCAGGGAGGAGGAGAAGGTGGACCTGATGCCATCACACAGATGGCAGGGCTGGGCAGAGACCCAGGAAGCTGCGGGCTCACCCCTGGCACCCACCCACCCACCTGGCTCCTGCCTGCCTCTTGTTGGTGACGCCCCCTCAGGGCTCTGCAGATGGTAAAGAGCTTCCAAGTTCACCTCTCCCTTGATACTCGTTGGCAGAAAGGCAGAACAGAGGCCACTGTCTCGTTTTTGGAGAAAGAGACGAGGCACAGAGAGAGGAAGTGACTTGCCTAAGGTCACTTAGGCAAGTGGTTGTGGCAGAGCCAGGCAACGGTTCTGCCTTTCTCCGCCCTCCCGAGTCCAGGGCAGCTCACCTTCCCCTGCACCCAGATCCCTAAATATCAAAGAACCTCAGGCTATAGCTGATCCTTTTCCATACTCCACTTGTCCCAGCATGCCTACTCAAGCTTCAGCGTCTACCTGCTCCTGTTTCAGCTTCCAGCCCCTTTATTCTTTTTTTTAAATATATTTTATTGATTTTTTATAGAGAAGAAGGGAGAGGGACAGAAAGCTAGAAACATTGATGAGAGAAAAACATCAATCAGCTGCCTCCTGCACACCCTCCACTGGGGATGTGCCCGCAACCAAGGTACATGCCCTTGACCGGAATTGAACCCGGGACCCTTGAGTCCAAAGAACAACGCCAAACCGGTTTCGGCGCTTCCGGCCCCTTTAGAAACCAGCTACCCACTGGATGGTTCATCGTGAACTTAACACGCCCAAACCTGGCCCGTTTCCAGCGATGTGGGGCCTCATGACGTGTCCACCTGCAGGAGCTAGAAAGCTGAACTTTAGGTCCTGGTCTCCCTCCCCTCTGTCCCCTCCATGCTGGCCTGTCCAGGTCTGGCTCTCTGACCTGCTGAATCTCTTACAGGGCAGGTCCCCTCTCTCCCTCCACGGTCTGCTCTCACCTGGCCTTTGCAATGCCGCCCCCCTTTCCCTCCTCCCCCGCCACGCCCCACTTCTAACCCACCCCTTTCCTGAGTGAAACCGCCAAGAGGCTCCCCTGCTGCCCCTCCCCCTGCCCTTAGCTCCCCACTCCCACCCTAATTATTTATTTATCGGGTAGCTGCCAGCTGAGGGGATGCAGTTGCCATGGGAACCTTCAGCCCCAGTCAGGGCTGCTTCTGTTCTCAGTAGGATGCTCTGGTCTGTCTAGACGCCAACCCCAGGAGTTCAACACCAGGTGGGGGGTGGGGAGTGGGGGGGGCAAGGAATGAATAATGGAGATGGGCTCACCCCACCCCTAAGAAGCTGGCTAGGGGGAGAGGGCAGGGAGGGGGTTGGGCTTGGGGCCAAAACCCACCAGAAGTCTCTTGTACCCAAGCCCTCGCCAGCCAATTCTGCAAGTCAACTACTTTCCTGGCCCAAATCCCAGGCATGTCGCCCGGGGGCTCAGACACAGAAGTCAGACTGTCTGAGGAATGATGAGCGAGAGGCCCCTGAAGTGTTCCGAGGATGGTTTGGTCCAGCCAGATACTCTCTCTTTTATTGACTTAGGTTCACGGAGGGCCAAGTTGGGAAGAGTTCCCCATTTAGGATCAGGCAGACCTGAGATCCACCCCCAGCTCAGTGCTGGTGTGACCCTGTGCGAGTTACTCACCCTCTCTGAGCCCAGGAAAGTGACCCATGGATTCAGGCAGCGCGCTTTATGGAAAGCTCTCAGTTCAGGGCTGGCACACAGTTGGTGTATATGGCAGCAGCCCTCTCTGCATCCCCAAACTCAAGCCCCCCCCTTTCCCAGTGGATTTCTGAGGCAGCTGACAAAATTAAACCCGACTCAGCCCCTCATCCGTGAAATGAGGGAGTGGGATTGAAACCACGGACAGCAGAGCTGGGAGGACCCCTGGAGATCTGCCGGTCCAGCCCCCTCATTACGGAGGTGAGCAAACTGACAGCAGAAAGGGATGGGACCTGTCTAGGGGGAGGGTCTTCTCCCTCTCCCCGAGCTCTGCCCCATCTCCCGGGGCCATCTGGGGTCAATGCCATCTGAGCATGAGCTGAAACACACACCCAACGACAGACAGAAAGGAGTACAGTCATGGAGACCAGGCAGTCTTTGCCATGACAAGACAGACGGGCTTGGCAGGGACGCAATTCATGTACAAATGTTTCTTAAGCACCTACTATGTGCCAGGTCCTGGACAGGGTTTGTGGACAAGTTGGTGTGGCTCCTGCTTCCAAGAGTGCAAGTCTAGAGACAGCTGTCACCGAGCTCTGGGAGCTGACGATGGGGCTTCTCTGCCAGGATCCCCATCTACCCTGGGGCTCCTTCCTGCCCCCAAACACACACACACACACACACACCACACACACACACACCACTCTGGGACCCCTCTTGTCCTCCAGCACGCGCGCGCGCACACACACACACACACACCCTAGGGCTCCTTCCTGTCCCCCAACACACACACACACACACACACACACACACACACCCTAGGGCTCCTTCCTGTCCCTCAACACACACACACACACACACACACACACACACACACCCCAGGGCTCCTTCCTGTCCCCCAACACACACACACACACACCCCGTTTGTTTGTTTTCCAGGGCTCCTGCAGCCCTTCTGCTTCTCTCGGTCCCAGCCTGGAACCTGCTGGAAAATGGCCAAGGCAATAACCGTTAAGTGAAATAAAACAAGCTGCAGAACAATATGATTCCATTTGTGTAAAAAAAAAAAAGAAAGAAAGAAAGAAGAGAGAGAGAGAGAGACACGAAATGTGTGCGACTGTAAATGCACAGTCAAGAGCCACGGAAACACAATAGATGATCATGAGCCGTTCTCTCCAGGGAGTGGGCGTGGGGAGATGGGAGACTTTCACTTTTAAACCTACATGCTGCTGTGTTTCTGAAAGTCTTTTTGACAACAGTTCTATTTTTTTTTTTTGGGGGGGGGGTGTTTTTAAATGTTGATTCACCGCTCAGCCCCTGTAAAATCAGGGCCAGAGCGGCTCGGCGGACCTGAGGTCTCCTCCGCTGATGTGAATGTGTGCGGGGCCCTGGGAGCTCTCCTCTGGGCCCAGGGTTCTCCTCTGTGCCATGGGGCCGCTGTCTGCCTGCCTGCGGGGGACCGGCCTTGGGGTCCTGTGGCCTCTGCTGAGATCCCAATGGCTCTTCCCCCCAGAAGCTGGTTCTGCCGGCCCTGGTACAGCCTGGCCCCACGTTCTGCCTGAGCCATCACAGCCCTGCTTTCCCCACCCCACCAGACCGGGACCCAGCACTGCCCTCATCTACGGTAGGTTCGGCCAGCCAAGAGTTCCTCTGCCCTCTCCCCTCAGCCCTAGTGAAGCTGCCTCTGTA